GTTAACGTTACGTTACGTTACGTTACGTTACGTTACGTTACGTTACGTTAGTTAGTAGTAGTAGTAGTAGAGAGAGAGAGAGAGAGAGGAGGAGAGAGAGAGAGGGATGTGCATTTTGGCTCTCCACCACAGATTTGTAACCACATATTTGTAGTGGACTAAGGGACCACAAACTTGGCCAGAAGGAAAAAGTAAGGCATTGCAACACAGCATGGCCCAGCCTTCTATGGTTTTAAATCAAAATGATGGCCCACATTGACTTTAGAGAAATTAACATACAAACTAAAAAATAGGTTTTGCTATCAAAGAATGATTCATATCGTGCGGAATTTTATGGTGGAGTCTGAATCTTTTTGAGTTCTTTCATTCCTATTTTATCCCATTTGAAATCACTCGAACCTCTCAAAACCCCCAAAAAAGAAGAAAAAAAAAAAAAGTCAAAAAAAAAAAAAAGAGGCAAGTGTTTGAGTGGTTCGAAGAGTGCAGCTTTTGCACCTCCCAAATACTTCTTTTTTTTTTGTGTTTTGGAAATTCCAAAAGTCGAGGGTAAAATGAAAAAAGAATAAGCTTAAGCTAAAATTTTTTGAACCTCATGGAAGAATATCTTTTGATTTAATAAACTTTTTTTGTGTTTTGGTCATTCCAAAAGTCGAGGGTAAAATGAAAAAAGAATAAGCTTAAGCTAAAATTGTTTAAACCTCATGGAAGAATGTCTAAAAATATAGACCTTGTTTAAACTATTTAATATTTAACCCATATCTTTTGATTTAATTTTAAAATACCCATCAAGAGCGTATGATGATGCCTTGGAGTTGTTCCACATAGATAAAAACTTAAATAGTTCAACTTTTTGATAAATTTCTCCCTAAAAATTTCTTTTTACCCATATGAAGACAGCAATCAAAAGGTAAAGTGGCTCAAAATTTGACCTTTTCTATGCCCAAACCTATATATTCTTTTCAAATATTTGGAGAATGAAATCAATGGCAAAAAGGCACAAAATTTGAGCTTGTTTCATGCCCGATAGCGTATAAATGCCCCACCATTTGCACCCTTGCAGTCATGCTTACTTGTTTAAGTCTAGCAGCCAAGGCCTTGTGTCTGGTCAAAATTATGGAAAATACTTTTCGATTTCCAACCCAATTGTGATATTATGGTAAGATCACAATAGAAGGTATTTGATCTATAACACTCATTGACTGTTTGGTTGCAAAAGTGAAATTCTCTCCCTCCCCCAGAAAAGGAATAGGCTCAAGGAACAAGTGGTCGCGGCAGATGGTCTGTACCATAATGTGACATCTTAAGTTTCATTCCTACAACAGGTAGATGACTCTTTCCTCACTGAACTACCCAAAGAAAAAAAAAATCCTATAAAAAAAATTTGTCATCTACTTTTTGACATTATTAATTGCATTATTAGACAGAAAAATTGGTCATCTACTTTTTGACATCATTAATCTGCACCATTAAGCAGAATACAAGTTTGCGATGTTACTTATATCCAACATGATACACCATTAAATAATGGCCGGGAGAAGATGAAAGATAAACTAAAGGAAGTAATATCTATTGTAGGTCAAAAGAAAATGAGAAAAAAAATAACCACAAATCAGAAGCTACACATATTCTTTGGCACACTCATATCAGAGTAGTGCACATCATTCACTCACATAAACCACAAGCTATACAAAGCAACTGAAAATCCAAATTATTACACCATATGAATGAAG